TATAATCTATGAGAGGAGACAGGTTCCATGGAGGTATCCTGAATGCATACTCATTTTTGAAAACAAATAAATCATAGAAACCAATACAGTATAGGTTATCTCAGGGAGAAAGAATTTAAGAAACAGTTTTCAGTAACAATTTCTTATAAGTACCAGGTGTTGCACCAATTAACTGAAGATGTAAGCATTGAAGTCTGATGGGATCCGATCAAAGGAATCTGGAATGAATTTTGTGTACAAGTCCTTGGTGAGAAAAAATGGAAAGATAAAGCATGGATAACACCAGAAACCATTAAAATGATTAAAGTAAGGAAAAGTAAAAAGGCAGACTTGAACAAAGCAAAACTAGAGCTGCTAAAACTAGAACTCAGGAAAAATACACAGAAGCCAAAAAGGAAGTTAGGGAGCACTAGAAGCGGAGACAGCAGCAGCAAAAGGAAACCTCAGAGACGTTTACAGTAACACAAGAAAATTAGTAGGTAAATATAGTCAGCCAACTAGATCAATCCAAAATAGTCAAGTAAAGGTACCCACCAAAATTAAAGATAAAATGGACAGATGGGCTGAATATTTTGAAATACTTCTAAATAGACCAGCCCGAGAAGTTACTCTAGATATCCAGTTTTAGAAATGGTACTGAATATCACAAGGTGAGATACCATCTAAAGAGGAAATTAGAACAACTATCAATCTCCTGAAAGAAGGAAAGGCAGCAGGTCTAGATAATATCCCAGTCAAAGCTCATAAGCCCAACATAAACGCATCAACTGAATTGCTACATAGATTATTTAGTCAAGTTTGGGAAACCAAAGAAATACCAGCAGATGGGAGAGAAGGATATTGTGTCAAACTGCCCAAAAAAAGTGATCTACAGAAGTGAGAGAACTATACAGGAATTATGTTGCTTTCAATTCCTGGTAAAACATTAAATAAGATTATTTTGGAGAGAATGAAAGATGCTTTTGATAAAACACTTAAGAGATAAACAAACAGGTTTTTGGCCAGACAGATCCTGTACTGACCAGATAGCTACAATACGTATAATAATCGAGCAAAGCATTGAATTGAATTCACCACTTTACATTGGCTTCGTAGACTGTGAGAAAGCTTTTAACAGCATTGATATAGAATCTCTCTGAAAATTAATAGGGCACTATGGAATCCCACAGAAAATTATTAACTCAGACAAGGCAACATACAAAGACATTAAATGCAGAGTTTTAAATACAAAGATAATGAGAACTAGTAAGGCAAATAGTAATGTGGTTTCTCTTAATGGTATCCCATCGTACATCTTTTTGGGTAGTAATGTAGATAAAAATGGGGGAATGTTAGAGATAGTAAAATATAAATACAAAAAGCAGCAGTTTTCATAGAACTAGGATATTTGTGGAGGTCAAAAGAAAATTAAAACTAACTGAACTAAAAATCTTTAACTCTAATGTCAAGTCGGTACTGTTGTCAGTAATGGAAACATTAACAACTAAGGCAATTAATAATAAACTACAAACTTTCATTAACTTGTGTCTGCGCAGAATAGAGGGAATTAAATGGTATGATAGAATCACTAATGTAAAGCTTTGGGAGAGAACTAAACAAGTTCCAGTGGACTAAGAGGTGAAGAAAAGACGCTGGCGTTGGATAGGACACACATAGAGAAAACCTGAGAACAATATAACTAGAAGACTTTGCACTGGAACCCACAGGGGCATAGAAATTAAAGAAGACCAAAAAAACACATGGAGAAGGGAGCCAGATAGTGAAGTTAAAACAATGGGGAGAGCTGCATATGATAGCAAAGGATAGAACGACTTGGCGTGAGTTCGTTGAGGACCTATGCTCCGCTGAGGGTTAGAAAGGCAGAAGAAGAAGCCACCAGAGAAGCGCAAGACAAAGCAGAAAACCACAGCACTGGGCTACGACCTGGTATTAACGAGATGACAAAAGAAGAAGAATTGTAAAACACACTACCATTGGAGGAGGAACAATGAATTGAAATCTTGTTGTTTCTGTTTTCCACTTTTAATTTCCTATATTAGGTTAGTGAAATATTGTTTGTAATAGTTCATTATTAGTTTGTTCCTTTGTTTTATGTCTATAAATATGTTATCAGTATGGTATTTGAAGCAAAATTTATTTCAACATTAATATATGTGTACAAACAAAAATAGTTTAGGAGTATAGTTGCTAGACAATTATTTAGTAATAGTATATTTAACATGTGCATAGAATTCATAAAATTAAATCCTGTTTACAGCCTGTTCTTTGTTAAATGTTTTCAAACAAAACAAAAACACGATACCATACAAGTTTTACATTTAAAAAATGTTTTTAAAAAAAGAACACACAGCACAAGGTACACTGGAAAAAGATGAAAAAATAATATCAGAAAAACTCTACACATCATAGTGTGTCTTTGCTCAAGGTGGCCAAAAGAGCAAGAGGTATAGAATCATATATTTCCTTTGCATCCGGAAGTCGGTAAAAGAGGAAGTAAGGACGAAAAGATGATAAGATACCATGTGTGACTGGGTGGTATTCATGCATACTAATAGGTGTTATGTATCCCTGTACCTTGTACTTGGATGACACCAAGAAGCACTCTGGCGATGTATTTGTTTACTAAAAACAGTATGCATTCAGTACACCCATGACTGGTTTTGTCTTTAATTGTCATTAATTCTTTTGCAGTAATTGAACTCTCTAGTATTTCTTCCTAGGTGCTGGTTAATGTTCCCACAAAACAACATCGGTCAGAAATCCTGGAAGTCCTCATGGCAGACTTGCATATAGCATCAGACGTATCAGTTCCAGAGTTGGCTAATTGCACTGTCGGGTTTGTTGGTGCTGACTTGCAAGCCTTGTGTGAAGAAGCAGTCAATCATGCACATACTCAAATTGAATCCCATGTAGTACATCCCATGGTAATTTATTTGCACTTATTACATTTAACTGTCATACTTATTTATGTGGAAAAAAAAAGAGACTGATTCTGCTTTTGTTGCACAAACCTCATATTAAATAAAAACTAGTGAAGTAAAAGTCAATTTTTATGATAGTGACCCATCAGGCATTTGATGATAGACTCAAGTTTTCATAGAACAGTCGGCACACGCTGAGTGATGTGGTCATAATCCTGCCGACCACCTTTACTTCCCAGGACATTACTCAGTACCCAGCTGGCTCGACCTTTTTTTTTAAAATCAGCCGCTATGGGCAAGCATCTAGCCACTGTGCTACCATAGCTCCCACAATTTTAAAAGGTATGTTTAAGTTGCTACAGGGTGAAATTGATTTGCAAAAGGTTGAATTTGATCTGTTAAAAATGACTTTGTTTTGCAAAAGCCAGAATTTAATTTGCAGAAATGTGATCTTGTGTGACAATCCAGTATCTGCTGAATTGCTCCGCTGCATTCCCAACTCAAGGATACTTGCAGAGCGTTCAGTGATAGTGCCATTATTACTCATGTATACCCTCTGCTGTCATATATTTCCTTGTGTGAGAAGACTTTCTGTTTGTGATTATGTTGTTATTAATGATAATCATCTTTAAGAATTTCATAAACCAGATTTGTTAAATTTTTTTCATTTTGTTCCTGTTTAGTATAATTTGAGGGAATGCCGGGGTTCGTGTTATTTCCCAATGCTGAATCTTTGTTTTTTTCGACAGTGGATGGGGGCCGGGGGCAATGGCAAACTACTGCAAAATTTTACTTCATAACAGCCAGTTTTCTGCTACAACGTCTTGCAAATGTATGTTATGAGGGAACAACTATCTTAATACTTATCTAAACTGAAACTTTTTTTGGGGGGAAAACTCTGCAAATATGACTTTATTTGACTGCATTCTTTAAATGTATGTGACTGACAATATTTAGTACTTTGTGTTGAGCCATAACCATTGTGTGTTGTTTATAGACAAGATTTTCCTTACTGCTGTAAGTTTACGGAACTGCTGTTTGAATTTTTTCATTTTTAATATTTTATTTAAAATATATGCAAAGGTTAGATTTTTGTTTCATTTTGGACACACATTTATTTTTATTTTTTTCATATTTATTTATTCATATACCCACAAAAGGATAACATATTATTATATGTAAATGTGTGTTACTAAGTAAAACAGTATGTCTAGTAACGAACAATTTAATATATAATACTTGAAAGCAACATAAATTTGTAATAAAACAGAGCAGTACAAAGAGTTCAACATGTTTTTTTTTTTTTCAGATTTAACTATTCAGCATTATATAATTTGTCAAGCATTTAAAAAAACCTGCTGCATTGCTTCTGTTTCCAGGAACCAGAAGTGCACATGTCACATTTTGTACAGGCTCTCCACACTGTCAGACCTTCAATGAAGAGAGGTTTAGATAGTGTTGTGGAAATCAAACCTGTGAGATGGGAGGATATTGGAGGTTTAGAGGATGTAAAAGCAGAAATTAGGCAGGTGAGCATTCACTGTTTTTTTTTAAATTTTAAAATGGATTGTACTGTTGATTGTACTGGTCATGTTTGCATTTAATAAGTGAATATACAGAAACTGATTCATTACTGTTAGTGCCCAGGTAATGTGATTATCTATAAAGACGAAGAGGTAGAAGATGTGCATGAGTGTTCTGGCACTAAAAGTGAGAATAGAGAGGCACTTTGTGCAGAATGCAAGTCTGTAGCTATTAGTGTCTTTTGGATATTTTACTACATCTAGTTTGCAGATGTCTCAGGATGAGTGGAGATTGCCGCACCACAATGAAGCCTTTCAGGCTGGCTTGAGAACCTTTGGAGCTGCAAACATATATTTCATGAATTGGTGACAATGTCCTGAACATAAGACGAAGACAAGAACGGTAATAAAACACTCACAAAGCAGTTGCGGCTCTTGAAGTTAATGACGGCTCATGGTAATGTCTAGAGTGCTGTGATGTCAGTTGTCAACTCAGCTCAGCTTCACTGTAATAATTAAATTAGACCTATTATTGTCACGTTTCTTTTGGATAGTCTTTATCTAGGATATGCAGATGTTGCAATACGTTGTAGGTCTTGGAGACGAGAGACCCATGAGACGGAGCCTTCCTGAATTAGTTCTACGTAGGTTTCCCTTGGGTCCTACTGCGAGATCTTTCCCCTGTGGTATCCAAATATAGGAATTGTGAGTACCTCTTTGATTTAGGCCATTACTAAGGGCGTGGGCCGACATTAGTTCAGCGGCGTATTTCGTCATGGTAATTAGTCACAGAGTGCTTGCCTGGATTCTTGTCTTATTTGTCAATTGGTTCGGAAGCTCACCAGTGAAATTTAGTATTCTTCAAGGTTGTATAGTCTGTAATAACTGTCTAATTACAGGCCATAGAGTTTTCGTAATTCTATAATGTGTTGTGTAGCATATTCCCGGTAGACAACACTTTTTTTTTGATTATAATGTTGTTGTTTAGCAAATCCCTGTAGACACTTTTTTTTTGAAGTATTAAAAGTTCATGGTAAAAGCAAACAGCTCGTTTTCTTTCCTTTAATGGCTGCTACGTAATAAGTGCTAGACCTATATGTTTTTTTTTAAACCAGTCTGTACTCTTTGGCCGATGTGCTGAACATCATGATAGTCATTCCATAATTTGTTTTTTCTTTTAATTGTTTAGATTTTTCGTCTTCTTGTTCTTCATTCATCCTTAAAAAAAAAAAGCAGTTGGCACGTGGTGTTGTGGTTTGCAGCTAGGCTGCAGTATCTTTGCCTTTCAGCCCAACACATTGAGTTTCAGCAAGTCCTTAATTAGACTTTTTTTAAACATCCTAGAAGTAGTGGATCTATTCTTTTTTTTTTTTCCATCAAACATATGGCCCAGAACTCAAACAGGGACATTACATTTTTTTTAATTTAAACATTTTAACAATATTGACTTTTTTAATTTAAAAAAATACTTTAAAATTGAATGCATATTCTTAAATTGAATCATGTTCACTTTTGTGATGTGTTTGTATTAAAAGAATACATCTGCTTTAGAGTCTGTACATGCTTCTTCGTCTGTGTTTACCGGCTGTAAGCTGTGGCAGAAAGTCCTGGTTTGTTCGTCCATCTGGACTTTAGCTTTGTGCCAGTGCCTGAGTTTTGCCTGTACATCCATTATATTTGCTGATTTGTGTGCAGTAGGTTGTTCCTTGCAGCTTGGGAAAATGCACTCTGACTTCTAAGAAAGCTGAGCTCCCCCCCCCCCCCCCCCCCCCATTAGTCCTGTATCTACGACCATGCTTATTTTGCTGACATTTGTGTGCAGTCCTTGTTGTTCCCTTTCGTGGCCTTAGGACCCACACATGAAGTCATACATAACTAAACTAAAGATAAAAAGTCCGTCAAAATATAGTGTAAAGCAGTCAGTCAGCAGATGTAACAAACATCATTTATTTTAAATAGCATTAGAAAAAATGTACCTGTTAACATCAGTGTAATTATTTAGTTTTTAAAATTTTTTTTATCTGCCGTGTTACTATAAATTTTTTAATATAAATTCAGTTGTGTGTTCTTAAAGGACGTTGCAGAACTAACCCCAGCATTTTTTTTTTAACTAGGTATTTTACATTCAATAGTTTGCCATTGGCTCTCAAAACCATTGTTGACAATCAGTGCACATGGTGGGCTGCCAAATCACTTGCAAGTGAAATTGAAATCATGAACCAGTTATTTTTGAAACTCCAAAGTTCATTTGCAGCGCCTAAGTGAGAGATGCTGAGGTTGATATGGAGCATATAAAAGATGTACTTTAATGTGACTCATCTGCTGACAGAATATGAAACATTTTATATTTGACCACAGAGCCAACTCATTGCTCTAGCTTTTATTAGTACTGACTGATACTAGATGTCCACATATTTTGCTTTGCTGCCGTTGTGTGTGTATTTGTGTGTTTTTAATACTTCTTCACTGTATTCAGGCAGTTGAATGGCCCCTGCTGTACCCTGAAGCACTACAGTCGTTTGGGCTTGTCTTCAACAAAGGGCATTCTCCTGTATGGGCCACCAGGTTGCTGTAAAACAACCCTAGTACGAGCTGCAGCTACATCTTGTAATGTGACATTTCTAACTCTCAGTGGAGCTCAAATATATTCACAGTATTTGGGGGAATCCCAGAAGATTATTTCTGAGGTAAAGAACAAGTCATTAGTCAGCTATAATAAGGTCAACCCTAAGAGAATATGTACTTCCAGTTCAGTAAGGAAATCTAATTTGCTCAGTGTGAATTAGGGGTTGAGCATCCATATAAGCAATGTAATCAATATTTACAGATAAAATCATTTTAAAAAGTTAAAATTAGTCTTTTTTTTTATTAACAAAGAAAGAAATGGTTTAGCCATTTTATGAGAATGAATTCAATGATGCCAGCAACGAGAATGTACAGCAGGAAAGTGGAATGAGGTGGGGGCTGACCAGGCAAAATATGGATTGAAGGAGTCATTGAAACCTTGGGACTCCACAGCACATGGGACAACCGAGCGTGCCCTAGATCGGATACCCATCATCTCTTAACCTGCACCACCTACAGAATATAGATAAAACAAAAAGAAAACAACTTTAACAAAGAACAAAATGTATTAGGTTGAGGGCAGTTTTTGTTTACTTTAAATGAACTTTAAGCTAACAGATTAATTATCTGAGTTTGGCCAGCTGTAAGCTACACTATTGAAACATTGATTCTCCGTGTGGGTTCCTGGGCTGTACTGTGGGGAAAACAAGAATAGACCCACTGCCTCACCTGCAAGCATGTCATAAGAGTAGACTAATTAGGAGCTTCCTTCGAAGACGGACTGCATCTGCCTGAGAGGCAAGGAACCAACAAAATACAGATAAGTCAGATCTGTTGAACGGATGAGCACACAACACTCAGATTCTGGAACAAGGCTAAAGTTCAAAGGTCGACAAACAACCAGAAATTTCTGCCAGAGTTTACAGCCAGTGACAAGAAGAAGACGAAGAAAGATTGATGAAATATGTTATTTGCCATTGAATTCTACCTGCATAAAGCCATACCTTTTGAATAGCGAGGCAATGTATTATTAACCTGCCATGTAGCATTCCTGAGACTGGCTTTTCTTGGCGTGTTTGGAATGGTATTCAGTATTTTATTGATGGCTCTGTTTGTGGAAATCTCAGTATCACCTGGACATTCCTTATGTGGGTTATAGTGCTCCTTTTGCAGAACAAAGAATAGACCCACTGCCACCTCAACAAGCATGTCTTAGGAGGCAACTAATAAGGGGTGCTTCCTTTAGAGTTGGAGTGCATCTGCATCTGGATCAGTACCAAAGTTTAGAAGTATACGAACAACAGAACTTTCTGCTGGAGTTTACAAATGGTGAACCTTAAGAAGAGGCTGGCTATGTCTGTAGTTGTATTATTGAAGAGTTACTTGCGATAGAATTGTTTAATGCTAGAAATTACACAGAAATTCATTAGTTGAAGCTGGCAGGAAAGTATTGATCAAGGTTAGTTACCAGGCTTGCTACATTTGGGAAAAGATAATGCCATGCATTGTTGTAGTTATCGCTAGTAGTTTTCCAAAGTAGTAGTTCCTGCACTAAGAACACACTAAAGTGATATGTTCATCATAACATCACTTGAGTAAGAAGGTGATTGAGCAACAGTTTTGCTTGGTTAGATTAACTAGATTATATATATAGTACACCGTACAAATTCTCTAAGAAGATGCTTTGGGTCCTGATGCTGACCTATCTTGCTTAAAATGTTCAGAGGATAATGATTTCAAATTACTTTTCCTAGGATAGGGTGAAGGCATATGTGTGTGCCTGTCAGTTTCTGACAGGCAAAATTACCTATTAGTTAATACTGTTATAACATTCATGAACTATATTGCTACTGTACTGAAATAATTTTAATTCTACTAATCCATTATTAGTTTGTTCAAATTTATATTTTTACTTTACAAATTCCTTAGAGTATATATTTATTTATATGGTAAAGTCTTTCTCTATAAAACATTTTGTTTCAGTTTTCTTGCTTTACTTCAGTATTGCTTGGTTAACTAAGATTTTTTTTTTTTAAACAAAGCTCATATGTTTGTATCAAGGTTAATATTCACATATCGTACACGGAGCATGAGTGAATAAATCCAGAATTGACATCATTGCACTTGGGAAATTCCCATGTGTGCTCCATCCCCTTCTTCAGTAGCTAACAAAGAGTCGAGATTTTAATAGTACCACTTGCAACCTGATTTAAAGTCTGCCTATGTTTCCCCTTCCCCCTCAGTGTTGAATATCTTCAAGAACCTCAACACTACTCTCATGCACTGAGTATATGAGTGAATGTTATCAAGTTTTAAAGTTAATTATCCATATTTTCACAGGCCTTTCAGAAAGCTAGAGCACTGTCACCTTGCATTTTGTTTTTTGACGAGATAGAGTCCATTGTTGGCTCACGGACAAGTGGCAGCACTAATAACAGGGTACAGGAGAACATCCTTGCAACCATGCTGAATGAGATGGACGGCATAGGCATCAGATTAGACACAAAGTTAAATGCTTCACTTGCAAGGCAAACAAATGATGGTCAAATGATGAAGCCAGGAAACTCCTCTTTACACAACTACAAGGTAAGTAATACAGTTAAGGGAGGGGTGTGAATTTATTGCTTAGTTATATAGCATCCGTTATTGTATAGAGCACACCCAATGAAATTTATGATGTGGACTTGTAGAAACTAAAGACCTCAGATAATTATGTGAAATTAGGAGAACCCATGTGTGTGTTTAGTATGTTGAAAGTCCATTGTAATTTAAAAATCTTAAACAGCATGTTGAATAGTCTGCTGCCCTAAATCAACCTCAAACGAACTCTTTTGCCCCCGAAAGACTTTAAAAAAGAGGCTGTAAACCCAGTAATTCCAGAAAAAAATTTTGAATTAACAAACTTTTTAAATGGGCCACTAAAAAAGAATTGTTTGAATTAATTTATTAATTTATCTTTTTTTGCAGTACGAAGGAGAATAATCAGTAAACATAAATGGTCCCTCCACATATCCAACCTTTAAAAATGAAACTGAATATCAACTGTGAGTTGCAGTTTTAAAGACAAAATTAGGAAATATAACAGCAGACTGACAGAAGGGATGGCCACAGACCCAGATTTCATCCTAGCAGAAGTATTAAGGCCAGTATAAACACATATACAGAATTGCTATACATATACATATTATTTGCCAAAATCTCGGAGACTGAAGAAGTACCAGCAATCTCAGAAATAATTTTATCATATAAATATTATTTTTAAAAAAATTAAAAAGACGACCTGCAGAAATGTTAAAACCATAGAGAACTTATGTTGCCGTCCGTTCCTGGAAAAATATTAAGTAGCGTTTTTTGGAAAGACTAAAAGGAATGAACAGTTGGGGGGGGGGGGGGGGGGGGGGGGGGGGGGGGGGTATTAATAAAATATTAAAGCAAAAAAAGACGAACCTGCACTTTAAATTTTAAAAACCATAGAGAACTTATGTTACCGGGAATCTCTGGGATGAGGCACTATGGGATCCAACAGAAGATTAATAATTTAGTAAAAGTAAAATACAAAGACATGGAATTTCATATTCTTCATGAGCGAGAACTAACAGAAACATTATATATAAGAACATGTGTGTGACTGGTATATCTTTTGTCGCCTGTATTGTTTTTAATGACACTGGACTGGATTATGAAGACGGCAACTACCATGAAATTCAATAGGCCTCTACAAAACAGCTTGATGACTTGATTTCACTGATGATACTTGCAATGTTTCTGTTACTGCAGTAAGAATCTGGTTGTTGTCTTATGTTCACAGAATAGACGAAATAGGCGCTTTCCAATCAATTTCTGCAACTTCTCCATATAACAATAATCAGCTGCTGACAGTTTAACGTTTAGTGATCTTAATACATGAGCTACAGGAGCCAGTCCTTTTGTCTAATAAACAGACTAGTGATAATCTGCAGCATGACACCTACTCCAGGTTCTACTTATCCGCACTTCAGATCATATTTCCAAACCCTCAGTGTCCATCGTTGACATGTACATGACAGCAGTCAGTGCTCAGTAGAAACAGTTCAGCATTGCCTTTCTCTCAGCCTTCATTCAGTTTAGATTTCTATACAGACGATCAGCTTTCAAACCCTCCAGCTCTGAGGAATGTTGCAGAAATAATCTCTCTTCGGTGATTTCCCAAGTTGTCCTGTGCTTCCAAAGTTCACTCACACATTCACAAGGTTTCACTCTCTCATGCTGACTTCGTGTCTAGCAACCTAGGGTTTTCCCGATTTGAACAACCAGTCAGAACCCTTACTATAATCCTCTATTTTGTATCACTGCAGTACTTCTCTTCTGTTTCATTCACAGATTCAGAAGGAAGATAAATTAAGCCTACTTGATACAACATCAAAATGAGGTCTAAAATCTATAAGGGAAAGACAGAGATAAAGAGAATAAACCAGGCAAAAAGTAATCTAATTTCTCTTAATAGTGATATCCCATATGATACTGAAATCTTGTTTTTTTTAAAACCAACCAGCCCTGAATGGATAATGCCATCAACATCATACTGGTCCCCTTAACTCTGCAGAACATTACAGGGGTATTCATTTTAGGCTGGGTCGACCTGGAAGATGAGGTCAGTTTTAAAAAAAAAGATTAGTATGCCTCTGTGCAGATTTGACAAGTGCTTAGCCACTGCATCACTGCTAGCTAAAATTTGTCGCATTAAGTGTGACCATTTCCTGAAATATGATCTTTCTTTGACAGCAGTTACATATATATTCCTCGCTTGTGTCGTTCCAATAAAAATTATCCTGAATATTTCAGACTAGCAGTTCATCAGATACTGAAAAGTCCCATGTTATTGTCATTGGAGCTACAAATAGGCCTGACATGATAGACTCTGCGATACTCAGACCCGGACGTATTGACAAGATGATCTATGTACCACCACCAGATTTAAAGGTAGGGACTTTCTTTTGTTGTAAAGATATTATTTTTACGGTGTCTGTATAGTCAACATCAGTAGCTTAGGTGTTGCGGATGCACTTCGTAATGCCAGGGTGCCGAGTTTGAACCCAGCTGCGAACGGTTTGTCTTGCTTTAGTTTCGACAATAGTACCTAGAGCTGGCCGTTTAGAAAGCAGTGGCAAACTACTGTGTGTAAAATTTCTTAGAAAAACTACAACAGCCAAAAAATGCTGGGGTTAGTTCTGCAACGTCCTGTGAAGGATACACAGCTAACTGTTTTTTAAGACTATATAATAGGGAGCTGTCATGGTGTAGCAGCTAGACTGTGGGTCCGAAGGTTGTGGGTTTAAATCCACATCTAATCACATTTTTTCAGGCACGACTTTGGCTTCCAGCAGGTTGACCTAGCCTCAAATAGATACCAGTTGACCTAAAAAATATAGGTCTATTATACCCCAACCCTGAGGGCTTGAAAAAGGTCTTTTTCTTTTTATGTAATAAGATGGAAATAGCTTGGACATGTTTGCAGAATGCCTCCTGACACTTTGGCAAGGACAGCTCTTTGGTGGATGACAGATTGAAAACGGAGATGTGAACAACCTAAGGAAACCTGGAGAAAGATAGTAGAAAGGGGAGTGAAGGCGTACAAACCATATAGGACATCATAAATAGAAAAGCAACAGATGGGAGGTTAGAAAGATTACCTGTGAATACCTCAGCAATGACATAAAAAGGATATTGTCAGGGTTCGTCCCTGTTAGGGAAAGTTCACTACGATGATGATTAATCTCACCAGTGTACTTAGCGACCCTTAGTTAAACTCATTATGTAGACACATGTAGAAACGTGGGTACTGAACAACGCTGGGTGAAAGCTCAGCATAGCTTGGTCAAGGCCAAGCGGATTTCACGGAGGCTGACCACCGCGTGAACACAGGGGCATGTAACAAAACTGATGTGCAGGCCCAGTTCTGGGCTCTCTCTTGGTTGTGACTGGTTTTGTTAACTGGACGTGTGACCAGACGTTAGATTGTGTTAGATTCATTGACAGATCGTATTGACTTGTAGAAATGTACCATCGTATTTATTAGCTGTAACGCATACTGTTCGTCATGTGATTGAATGTATTTAATACGTTACGGGGTGGACAATAAGTGTTCTATTTATACTTCAGTTAGTATAAGATTTAAGGAAGTAGCTAGACTTTGTCAGTAGGTATAACGCTTTACGATAAGCCAAACCATGCATTGTTTGCATCTGTCGACGCACCTCTAAGCCCACACGTGGCATGTGCCATAGCGTCCTTGACATCAGGAGACAGCAAGTTGAGTTAGCGCTGTATGGAGAGTGGTAGCCGCTCATAGCTTATATCATGAGCGTGAAAAGGCGCATCTAAGCGATTTTAAAGTTAGAAGTGGCCTGGTTTCAGACTAAGGAGCGCTACCCCTCCTGAGGAGTTCGCCGTCACGTCTTGCTCTTTTGATAATAAAGATTGTGTATGTGTTGCAACCAGTGTTTGGCTTAGGTTTATTTGTTAGCAGTGGTTTTCCTGTCATTAACCTACAGCATAGCCAATGGAATCGAACCCTAGACACCTAGGTTCTTGACAGGTAAGTGGGAGCTCTTACCTTGGATTTTGTGGGAACCCAACGTGCTTAGTTAATGGTTGATAGGAAAGGTGGGGTATTTTTTCGTACATTTTTTGTTAGTGAACCAAAAAGATATTTTTATAGGCAAAATGGAGATATAAACTGATATGTTTACAATTATGTAAGTACTCATATAAACGTATAGTAAAGTTAAGGGCCCATATTACATTACTGGCAGAAAGCAGAAATGGCATATGAAGCTAGACATAATTTTATGGACCAATCAGCACTTGACTGGTGAATAGTCTTTGTTTCAAATCCACATGGTATGCATGTTTGTATATATATATATATATATATATATATATAGAGATAGATAGATAGATAGATAGATAGATAGATAGATAGATAGATAGATAGATAGATAGATAGATAGATAGATAGATAGATAGATAGATAGATAGATAGATAGATAGATAGATAGATAGATAGATAGATAGATAGATAGATAGATAGATAGTTGACTAAGCATAATGAAAGCTGTTTATAGTAATTATATAAATATAAAGATAATTTGCATAAATATTTTTAAAAGCAAGGGTAAAACAATAGTGAGCAAAAACTCACGGAGGGGTTCAGTATTTGATAATTCGATCAAATTTTTTTTAATTTTTTTAATTTTACATTTATTCAGTCATAGGACTATTGTTTTTAATTCTCTCCCCAGAGCCGTGAATCAATACTCAAGATTCAGCTGTCCAAAATGGCTACTCTCGATGTAGATATAGAAGAACTCAGCAGGAAGTCAGAATTCTTTTCTGGTGCAGATCTGAAAAATTTATGCATGGAGGTATACATGGTTAAAGCATTTTCCGTGTCACAATAATAGTATTTGTTTCAGATATTTCCCAGCTGTTCCCAGTTAGCTAAAATATACATCATCCTCCTTTGCAGAATATCACTCCCAAAACTGTTTTCCTGAAAGAAAAGCATTCTCTCGCCCGCTGTCCCGCCTCATACACTTTCATATTCAAGGAGTCATTTATATTCTGTGCCCATCTTTATGCTGGTCGGACCCTGCCCCTTCCTTTCTGGTACCATGCCTTCTGTTGTTATTTCTTTCCATTCCACCTTGGTGCTTGTGATATGACCAAACTATTTCAGTATCTGAGACAAGATGCTGTTTATTAGCCAATCTTCCTTGATTTTCAGATCTTTTAAATTAACAGTATTTCTTCTTTTCTTTGTCCATGGTATTCTGAGAATATTTCTATAGCCTCTCAGCTCAAAGTTTTCTTCCTCAAGGACTGGGAGATAGTCCAGACTTTGAATTTGCTCCGTCTGCAGACTGTCAAATGGTAAAGTCTGGTCTATAGAATTTATCATATTTATGATATTTGCAGAGAATTAAAGAAACACTTACTGATCATGTTGCAGAACATGTGACATAGATGTGTTCTTTTCTTGCCAGATTTGCATCTTTAATATCGTTGAGCACTTTGGTTTTGGGAAGAGGAGTGTATGTGTAACCCCACTTCTCACCCTAACAGACATGTTATAAAAGGCACCAACCATCTCTCATGTCACTCTAGAACAGCGGTTCTCAACCTGTTGGTCCCGACCCCCTTTGTGGGTTGAGCGACCTCACAGGGGTCACCAAAGACCATTGGAAAACATATATTCACTGAAGTTATGAAGTAGTAAGGAAAATAATTGTATGGTTGCAGTGGCCACAACATGAGGTACTGTACTGAAGGGTGACGGCATTAGGAAGGTTGAGAGCCACTGATCTAGGACATTAGTTAGTTAGTTAGTTAGTCTTTCCTCTTGTGTCGAGTGCGGCACATAGGGCAGAGGTCATGACTCTCCATGCATGGCGGTTTGTTGCAATCCGTTGTAGGTCTTGGATGTTTGAGTGGCCCATGAGCAAGCCTTCCCTGATGATAATTCTACGTAGGGTTTCTCTTGGTCTTCCACGAGATCTTTTCCCCTGTGGTGTCCAAATGAGGGCTTGGTAAGGAAGTCTTGATTTATCCATTCTAAGGGCGTGGCCGACATAGTTCCAGCGGCGTTTTCGTATAAAATTAGACACATACTCTTGCCTTATTTGTGTATTTGTTCGGAAATCTGACCATTTGAAATGTAGTATTCTTTTAAGGCATTTATTTTCAAAACTGTCTAATTTTGTGTCTAGAGTTTTTGTTGATCCATAGGTTAGTACTGGAATCACACAAGAATTGAAGATCTTGAGTTTTGTGTGTTTGCTAAGTGTCTTTGATTTCCAGATGTTGGACAGTTTATTGAAGGCACTAGATGCCAGTGCTATTCTAAATGGTATTTCTGGTGCGGTATACATGGTTCTAACATTCCAGTAACCAATTTTAAAGATGTCCTTTGAATTTAACAGATTAGAACGAATCATCATGGTAGCTGATAAAGTGTTGATATTTGTCAGTAAGTGACAGTCTGTGAACAGTTCCTGTTATATTGATATTTTTATGTGATTCTGTTGTCATTTAGTAATGATTGAGCTTATAAAATATTTGAGTGACACAAAACTATTAATTATCTCCATTTCTCAACAGGCTGGATTGATTGCATTGAGAGAAAACATGAAAGAAAATAGAGACATCTCCAATTTATTTGTCACTAACAGCCACTTTACTCAAGCATTGGAAGTTATTAAACCATCTCTTACAAAATCATTGTTTAAAAAATAAAATATAATAAATAATATTTATTAAAAGAATACACTTTGTCTTAGTCAATGTATATTTGTGTGTGAAGATAATATACGTCTGTTTGCTCAGGTGTATGATTTTAAAAGTAAAAATTTTGTCTTTATTATGTAAGATATGTCTTTATTATGCAGGTGCCAATCATATTATGCAAGATATTGCTCCACATCTCTCTCTCTCTCTCTCTCTCTCTCTCTCTCTTTTGAATGGCTGGTTATCTGCTAAAAAATGTTAGACAAAGAAGGAAACCCAGTACAGTAGTTCTTCTTCAGGGTTTGCCCTCAAAAGGGAGCTGGGCACATTGTGTTGTGGTTTACAGCTAGGCTGCAATATTTGCAGAGGAAAAACATTGTTTTGAAAATCAGACACTATCTCCACATGCATTACGTTATTACAGTATTGTTTCTTAAAAATGAAGTTTCGCTGTGGCTATTTTTTTCACTTACCTATCTCTTTACTATCCTCCCATGAAAATTACTGTCCTGTGCTCACACATTTGCTTTCCCCTTTCTCTCTATGATTATTTTCAGCAGTGCATTATATAGCTTTTCATTTCTTGTTTCTTTAATATTATTTCATTTGGTAGTTTTCTAGTAATTTATAACTTTTGTTGGTGACTTCAGGTAATTTTTTTTTTACTGTATGCACTTTCAAGTCCAACACAGCATTAAGTTAGAATCTCTTACAACGGAACACCTCAAACATGTATCAGCCTAAGCCTGGTAGCAACTGGGAGTGGCTTGGGACTCTCTCCTGACTTTAGGATCTTGGATTTGAATCTTGATCGTATCTTATTATTGTTTTCCAAACTGACCTTGACTGGTATGTCAACCCAGCCTTAACGCATACCAGGTAATGTCCTGGGAAGTAAAAGAGACCGTCATGATGTTGACTGCATCACACATAGAAAGACGATTGGTTGATAAAAATATGAGTCTTGCATCTTCTTCTTCTTCTTTCGTTCGCTTGAAATAGATTATCTATATCTGCAGTGTTGTCTCTAGCATGAACTTCACTTTTTTTTGTAATTCACTCAGCGACACTGTAAAGTTTGACTTGCACCGATGTTTCTCTTGGCCAAAAGTTTTGCCTTGGTATGTTGTTGTATTTGGGACCGTCTTAGAGGACATCATCTGTTGTCTCAGGTGCCTATCCACATGTGCACATGGCTGATTCACCGATTTTAAATTTTGTATACATGTGGCTGCAAAGTCAACTTTGTCCTGTTCTAAGGCATAGAATAATAATTTGCTTTGGTCTGTCCATAAAATGGTAATCGTCTTGTGCTGTCGCCACGACTGCAGGTGAGGATTTTATATTGCGCCTGACAGGTCTTTGAGCCTAAAATCCCCGGCCTTACTGAGGAGGATTTTATTCAAACCTGAAAAAAAATCCCCCGCTTACTGAAGAACTCAGCCCGCTTAAGAACTAAGCCATTGAGCCAGCCGCTCCTCGGCTGAATGTTGAATTAACAAGAATATTTTGCAGTCTTCCTTTGTCAATTGAGATGAGAAAGAGAATTCTTAAAAGCTATATAAATCCTCTCTTGATATGTGGAAGTGAATCATGGACAGTTGTAAATTAGTGAACAATTATTTGGAAGCTTGTGGTTTTAAAGATGAATGATGAAAATACCCTTGACAGATAAAAAGAATAATGAAGACGTCTTGAAAGAAAATGACTTACGAAGAGAACTGATTGCCCACATCAGAAAGTGAGAAATTACATTGTTTAGTCACATGATGAAAATCTGAAAACTGGAGTACATCTTGACTAGGAAAGTTTGAGGGGAACAGAGAAAAGAGGCTGGACAGTTTGACATCATGGCATGGAGTATCATCTGTGTAGAGTTGATTGAAAGTACACGAGACAGAAGGTTGGGGATAGACATCACTACCAACGCCATAAGGTATGGGACTTTTAAGAAGAAGCATCATAAGCCTGATGAGCCACTAGTTTAAAAATGGGTTCTTGTTGATATTTTGGCAAACTGAAAGCAAACAGGAAGCTTCTCTTCCAGAAATATACCTTACTTTGGCTCGTTTGGTACTAGAAGGTCATCTCAGCTGCCCAATGGATGTAATGACAATAACAATTACTTTCGTGGGGGCCAAATATTTTTACCCATATAAGGAACAAAAACATTATCAGACTGCATTAATTTAGGGTGACCATACTGTAGTGCAGTTAAACTGACTGACTTAGGATGTCAATTTTGGCTCCGAATTTTAGTGCAATGTCCCGTTTTCTTATCACAAAATTAGTGGAATGTTCTGTTTTCAGCTCAAGAAATTCTTGTCACCCTACATTAATTTCTATTAAAACAATAGAAAAAGAAATAAGGGCCGGAAACCGCCAGATGTGGCTTGGAACGCGAGCTAAACAGGACTATTAGCTGTTAGATTGCTCGTTTACTTTAAGTCAGATTAACATTGTTTCTGGAAATGTATTTTTCTTCTCTACCTTTAGTTGCGTTCACAAAAAAAAACATATTCGGGGTATTTAAAAAGAAAATGTAAAGCGAAGGACCTTATTTTCACCCCATTCGCTCAAACGGTACCAGACCCATATTTGGAAAGACCAATCGGCACTAAGTAAGTCTTCTAGTCACCAGCGCGTTTTGCTTCGCTGTAAGAAATTATGGCATAGTGTCTACCGGCGAGCCAAAGGCGACCTGGTCGCTGATGAAACATCATGTTGTTCTCCCAGTAGTGGCGTAGGAAGATGTGCGCGGCCACCCCAGGTGTCATTATCGAAAAAAGGAGGCGAATTGGCAAAACTATGTGTTTTTAAAATATAAACAAAATGGTGTATGGAAAGGGGGTTGTCAGAAAATATTCCGCACCGGGTACCACCTGACCTGGCTGTGCCACTTCTCCCAGGACATTTAATTATACCTATTGTAGGCTGAAGATCTGAACATCAAGGAAGATTGGCTAATAAACAGCATCCTTTCTCGGAAGCTGAAATATGTTGGTCATATCAAGCGCCACAACGGATTGAAAAAAAAAACTATAGTAGAAGGCATGGTACCAGGAAGGAGGGGCAGGGGCCGACCTACACGAGGATTGGAACAGGATATAATTGACTCCTTGAGTATGTAAGTATATGA